TACAGCACACATGCAAGCATTCAGTGCACTACTAATTTGCAACACAGTGAGTTTTTTTGACACTGGGAGATCCTGGTGTCAAAAAAAACCTGCCACTAAAAAAAGCAGCATAGCACACATGGTAGCAGCATGTGCCACAGGAAACTGGAGCCTAGCCAGCCAGAGCTGTGCTCCAGCTGCCGGCCAGGCTCTGAGCAGCTGGCTCAGCACCACTGCTGCCCTGAGAGACTCTCAGGCCCCAGGTAAGGCTGCTGAGGCCAGCACAGATGTTGGCCCCCACCTCCTCTACTCCTCCCAGGTACCTTTGCTGCATGCCGGGGCATGCATGCAGGATTGTGCCAATATAGACTGTGGGGGGTTTACCCTCTCTGTAGCAGTGGGCACAGCTTTCTACCTAAGATCTCTTGAGCATGTATTAACAACCTTTTATAGAAACAGGATGTTGGTTGCCATGGTTACCCTGCTTGACCTGGGACAGGTTAGGGTGTTGAGTCTTGTGCTATGTCATGGTTGGCTCTGGTTTTGCTAAGAGGTTAGATAATAGATATGTACAGGATAATTTGGATAGAGATGATCCTGTCTCAGGCAGGTGGTTAATCTAGATGATCTCTTGAGGTCTCTTCTAGCCCTACTTCTCTATGACTCTATGGCTAAGTACAGACAGTCAAAAAGCCAAAGGTGGAATCAATTCAATCTTCACAGGTTAGTCTAAGCTCCATAGACTGAACTAACAAACCAGTGAACAGACATTCACTTTTGATTCTGGAAATGCAACCACATGCCTTCAGTGGCCAAGGCCAGAAGCCAGGAGGTGATACAGCATGTCTCTTTTCTTAGCTGAAGCAGACAACTTGGGCCAAGACTAGCCTGCCCTCCCTGCAAGGGGAGGGGGTGGGGAAAGGGGTTGTAGGTGAGGTGCGAAGCAACCTGGGATGCTGGGAACTGTGGGCTAACTTGATTCTGGAGCGGATCTGGGACAGAAGTTGAGTAAATTGTTTTAACCTAAATCAGTTAAGTCTGATACTGCATCCACCCAGCTTTATCTTATACCAGTTTTAGCCATCTTGAAAGTGGTTTATGTGCACTGAACTTCTGTTGTGTTACAGAACTGAACTGGTTTCTGAACACTTTTACCAGTTTGTGTGTCATTTCTGTCCCTAGCCTATAAATCTGTATTCCTCTAGGTGAACGCAAGTCACAAAGCCCGGGATGAAGCATGTACCAGCTAGGGGCACAGTTTTCTCTCTAAACAAGTTCCAGCTACAGAACAAACTTCCAGACTAAGCTACATGCATGTAGATGCCTTTGGAAAATGTTTAGAAAATTCCAGAAAATAATTATTTTCATAATATCTTCCATAATATTGATGACAATCATTACACCGGCACTCCTTTTTAATTTTAAGTCCTGACCAACAAAAATAGGAGATAAAATGGAAAGGAAGGAAGGAAGGAAGGAAGGAAGGAACGTATTAGAAGTCACTTGATCCCTATCCTAAGCAGTGTTTTGACCCTGTAAGGGAGAAATCAGTTAGGAAATCTTCTACTGCATTTGTTTTTTACATGGAAAACATTCAGGTACTACAATGATGAACATGAATGTGTAACCCAGAGATAAACACACAGCAAGAAAGAGGCTGAATTTTCTTTCATAGGGCTTGCAGGTTATCTGTAGGCAAAAGGGTTCTTTCCCAATGTGTTTGTTTATTTGCAGATTCATTTCTGTGAATAAGTTTTTGGTCCATAGATCATGTGGTAACAATTTGTTATTAGCATTTAGCATTCATAATTAGAGTTGTTTTGATTACAGACATAGGTTGCATGGTATATTTCTGTTCTCCGCTGGGCTGAGTTTAACTGTTAACAGCAGTTTTCTAGTGAGAACATTCCTGAATAAAAAATCAGTATTTGTGAATGTTCAATGATAGTTACTTAAAATTCACTATTTCAGCTACCATTCCTGACAGCAAGTTTGCATTGTAACATATGCACAGATTGTTAAAACAAGCAGAACATGAAAAAAGTTTATGATACTGATGCAAATCTAATTAATAGAAGTTCTCTTAGCCTGGAGAGATGACACATTTACATTCGTGTAATTTACACTGGGTTGTTCACTACTGTAAATAACACCATAATCTAGAGTGGACAAATGTGCAGCTATGTTAAGGGCTCTGCATGCAGCTACCACAAGGCGGTGAGAAAGCAAGTGTTAGCATGTTTCCTTAAGCAAACTGCAGACAGATAATACTTATCCCAGTATAGTCTTGCTCCTAATTTGTTCAGAATCAAAGTTACTTTGGTCTGGGAGTTTATGTTATCTGTACATAGCTTTCATCTGTCCTAGTCTATAGAATCTGATTAGTGGCCACAGTTCAGGTTATATGTTAGAAAGAAATCCATGATGAATACATGTCAGTAAATGATTTTGCAGTTTGTCAAATGGATACTGGGACTATACATGGTATCTGGGCCTGAGCCTTCTCTCTATTTCTTCTCCCAGTGATATAAATTATTAGTGGACTAACATCAGTATAAAGCTGGCTAAGTGAAAGGATAATCAGAACAGTATATACATGTACAAACACTTTGACCCTAAAACTGTATGTTGCCTCATATCAGCAGATCTCTGTATCTAAGACCAAGTTTACATCAACCTGTGAAATGACCCCAAGATAGCATCAGTGTAATCAGGGTCAGTATCAGGTTTAGCCTGTTAAAATCTCAAACTAAAACAGTTACCAGACATACAATCTAAGAGCAAATCAAGACTGGCTTCAATAGCAAAAACCCATCAAGTTAATCCCAGGATCCAAAGACTAATATCCAATATATACTTCTAATTAAAACTTCACATTACAAAACTCCAGTAAGATTACTTAGGAATACAGACCAAACACAGGCCTAACTTCAACATAGTCTCATTAAGTGGGAGAAAACACAGGCTCTGAAACAGACCTTTAAAGTTTCACATTGAAACTGATGCCATTACAGAGAAATCGCATTGTATCTGTAAGTGAATATCCATGCTCCCTTGTTTTCTCTGTTTCTCTTTTTTGTTTCCACACTGCGGGTTCTTTACCGTTATCAACCATCAGAAGACTCATTCCTGGAATCAATAATATGCTCCTGTGCCACAGAAAAGGTATATTTATAACCCAGGTGCACCTTTAATTTTCCCAATTAACTAATTAGTTCTTGCCATCAGGGCCAAGGGTGATGACAATTTAGAGTGACAAAACACCTTTTAAAGGAGTTTCCATGCATACAAAGTGATTTCATGAGAACAAAGATTCCCTTGGGAATATTAACTCAGAAATGTACAAAGATCCATTACAAATACAGATGGTTTCAGGGGAATATTGCGCATAGTGTTCAAGGCTTTATAAAACAGGGATAATAAACATGGGGCAAACTGTGCACAAGGTTAAACTATTAAATCCATACTCCTAAATAAAGTCTACATGATTGGCAAAGGTACTAAGCATCTGCAGTTGCAGGGGATGTCTGGGTGCTCCAGGGGTATAACAAAGTGGCTGGGCACCCAGGACAGCTTCTGCAGACCCTGGCACTGGCAACTTCTGGTTGTCACTGCCACTGGCATAATTGCAAGTCTGCAATGAAAGCCATTTTTTCTATCCCTGTCCTCTCTTCCCCCTAGGTTTCAGGTCAGCACCCAGGGTGGCTCTGGTCACCTTACTCTAGTAACGCTTGGAAAGACAGGGAGGGGAGAATCATCGGCTGTGGTCTCCACTATCATGGATACTTGTAGTTTTAAGCAATAACTGTCTAAAGCAGGAATATCAAACTTGGCCTACTCCCAGGCTGGATCTGGACATGGCACCAGGAGAGGCGGCTGTGGCTCCAGCAGTGGAGGTGATGGCAGGCTAAGCAGCAGCAGGCCATATGGAAGTTATCCAAATGGCAGCAGGGAGAACAGGACTGTCTCACCACCCTTGGCCCCTGCTGACAATGGGACCATAGAGCCTTGGAGTCTGACAGGGACTACCTCCGTGGTAGCCCTGCCTCTAAGTTTGCTGGCCCACCAGGAACCCTGTCAGATAGATGAAGCAGATCCACAGGCCGGCTTTGGTCGATAGGACCTATAGTTGATGTCCCTGTTCTAAGGTAAAATGCATAAACAGGCCTAGAAGAAGGGACTTGAAACAACGTTCTCCCATGTATTCTTAACTCGGTGACAGTCTCTTTCTGGCTCAATGAATCTTACCCTCGTGGGTGCCCAGTGGCTCAGCTTCCACAGGAGGCGTAGAAGGTCCCCTTCCCCAGACTATTGTATGGCCTAGTTATTAGGGTAGCTTCCTGTAAGCTTGAAGGTGTAGGTTTGAGACTTTCTCAGGCTGAGAAGGGCCTGGAGCCCAAAGCCTAGAACAATTCCAATATCCTGGGCAGCAAGTGCTCTGAGTACTAGGCTATTGTGCAGTATGTGAGCACAACTACAAGTGGTCATGTCCAAAACTGAAAATCATCAAGTGTGCTTGATATCATCAGTGTAAGGCTTGCTTTGCAAAGAACTAAAGGCCTAGGTATTTAGGAAGCATTTAGGAACCTGCCAGTTCAGAAGAGGATTGTTACAGATTCTAGGCAGGAGCCAGGTATCTGATTTGGATTGCTTCTGAGAATAAGCACAATCTTAATTCAAGGCATATAGGGAACTTTTGAGGTCATAATGGAGACACCAAATGAATTTGGGTACCTAAGAGTTTCTTTGGCATTATACCAAGGTGATCTGGATTGCTTTCATAACATAGGCACCTACATTCTATCTACGTCCTGCTTAAATACCTCTAAGAACAATTTTGAATCTGAACCTAATTATCTTAGCTGCCCTTAAAATCCTACCCACACTCCACTCTTATAGATGAGAAAACTATTATGATTTACCTAATAAGGTAAAGAGGGTCAGAAAGGTAAACAGAATTCAAATCCAGATCTCCTGATGTCCAGTCCCCTGTGCTTCCATGCAGGCCTTCAAAGCGTACCAATTCAAATGGACTTCCATAGGCTATAAATCAGGCTCCATATAAGCTGCTCCCTTAAACACAAAAGGCTAGCTTTACATGTAAGGTATCTGAGGCAATCCCGGTAATATTCCATGCTGTATGATGATTGCTCTGCTTTTCTCATTGTTTGCTTCTTGTTCTGCAGATCAATACTACAGATTTGCTCTTAGAGGAGTTAAGAGACCTGTTCTTTGTGATTGAATTACTCTATGATAATCTCCCCCCTTGAGCTATTATAAAAACAGAGTTAATAACATTGCCTAAATGACATTTGAATATGATGCAGCTGTCTGAATCATATTATTATAACTACCTTTTGATTGCTAGAAAAACAATTCCAATCATTCTTTCCCCATTTCCATTTCTAAGAAAAAAGTACATCTCTGAAATGACAAAAAGCACTGCATAAAGATGGAAAAGAAGTTTATAAAAAATTTGGGTGGACGTATCTTTAAATATCTATTTGCTTTTTCTAAACAAACTTGCAGAAAGATTCACATGCACACTCTTATAAAAATCATCTTTCTAATCACATCTGAGTCTGGCACATCAATGGGAGAATCACAGATAATTGTCATGTCATTACAGTAATATTCATGCCACAATTAAAATGAAACGCAATGCCCACTCTGACTGAAGATTGTGGAAAGCATATATAGTGCAGAGTGGGTGCATCTACATGTGTGCTGGACTGAGCAGCTGTTACTTCAGGAAGTACTAAATGACTGTGCAGTAACTGCCGTTATTGCACAGTCCCAGCATTACATGCTTCATTTCCGATGCTACTGCACAGTAGCGTTGGCATCATGGTTCATGTCAGCATCGTGTAGCATCTCATGTAGATGTGCCTCGTGGGCTACAATAGATAGACTGGGCTACAAACTTAATATCAATCTCTTATCTTCAGCATCATTTACAGTACTGGGACCATGGTATTCCAAGATGCTGAGCTATTTCAGGTCCCACTAGGCCTGATTATTTTTTCAACTTTTTTATAAACTTAATTTAGTATTGAATCTAACTTATTAAGTAACAAATTTAATATTTTAAGAAACAGCCAGTTCCCTAAGTTATATATAAAGACATATAATTATCTTCCATCAATAATGCTCCCTTAACCAAAGTCAATATCCGCAGAGGGAAGTCTTGTGTTCTTTTCATCTCTTCCTTTCAGTCTCTGACAACTCCTTTACATTTTATAGTAAGTTGTAGTGGGTGCACCAACCCTGGCGCAGCTTGCGTGCAGCTTGCTGGCTTGAGTAGAACACCGAGCCATTGATGAAATATCTTCCACCAATCAGGAGAGGGTGTCCCCTTTCTCCTGATTGGTGCATCTACAATCTGGGGGCAGAGCTCCCAGGAGGAGATGTCCCGGTGAGGTTTTTGCCGCCCATTGCTCTGATTGGATCTTTTGTGATCCAGAGAAGTGCCCAGATGGCTATAAAAGAGCAGCATGTTCAGCTGGGAGACCAGACCAGGGAGGGACAAGAAGAAAAGCAGAGCTGAGAAAAGCTGGGTGAGCTGCCCCAGTGGGTGGTAGCTCTAAGCTCCTGAAGACGCCGCTGGAGGAGCCGTCCCTGGAGGAGCTGCCCTCGGAGCCTCAGCCCTGGGATCAGGGAGCAGGAGTTGTGCATGCATGGGTGCCCACAGATCATGGTAAGTCAGACAGGCAGGCCCAGGCCCAGGCCCAGGCCCAGGCTGAGGTCCCAGCTTAGGCAGCTGCTGGACAAACCCTCCCCCACCCCCTGCATTCCCCTAATGCTCCCTAGGGGCCAGCGGGTCGCTGGGTGCTGGCCACAGGAAACCTGCCTTCCCTGCCCTCTTCCCAGGCTGGGTTGGGCCTGACTCCTTGCAGCACCTGCTGCTGTGGCTCCAGACCCACTCTTCCCCCTTCTCCTTCAGCAGACCACGCTGTCTCCTGTGACACTGCCAAGCCCATGGTGCCCAGGCTTGGTGTGCAAGAGGCTCCTGGATGACTGGGATGCAGAGCTGCCTGTGTCCCTGCCCTCCCCACAGGAGGCCTCTCTGTGGGGGCTTCCTGGGGCTATCCCCACCCCAAAGCCACTCTGTGCCCCAAGCGTGCCCCTGCTGTGCATGACCAGTGTGAGGAGCTGTTTGATTAGACAGATGTGCCTGACCCACTATGCCCTGCTGCTGCTGATCACCATGGTGCCCTGGGCACACCTGCACACCTGACATGGAACCCTGAGCTTCAGCGGTATGGTGGGCAAGCCCATGCTGCCCTACAGCCTCTGCTACCACCTGGAGAGCTATCTGTGGCTGCACTAAACATTCCTGCCCTCGGCAGCTGGGGAGGGCATTGCCCCTGGCATTGATGCATTCCTTAGTGTGTGAGAGGCCTGTGCTTGCCTAGCTGCAGAGGCACAGGCTGCTCAATTAAGTTTTGCACTGCCTCCCACCTCCCTGCATACTGTGCGGGGAGAACCTGGGGACCAGGGGAGCACAGCTGAGCCAAGCAGGGAGGGGGCATGGGCCAGGGCCAGGGGAGGCACACATGTGCATCAGTGCACGTGAGCTCTTGCTCCCCCGTGCGACAGCTGAAAATTATTTCTGTGTGATAAAGATGCTTGCTGAAAGCTCTATGAAGATTAGACCAAGTGTTTTTCTGTCATTTGTTTAAATATTAAGCTATTTGTTGTTGCTAAGAGCCTAATTAAAGTTTAAGTTGTAGTTAGGTCTTGTATAAAGTAAGACCTAGTAAATTTAGCAAAGCCTGGAAGTAGTAAGACTCTGTGGCATAGTTAAAATTAACCTTATTAAAAGAATGCAAGGCTTGTACTGCTATTAGTCAGTCTAAGGACAATTGAAGTAAAAAAATATGAATAGCTGTAACTTATCAGCATAGCTCAGAAATTAAAAATCGGCTGACACATCCGGAAATCATTTAGAAGGAAGATGTAGCTCTGTGAAAGAAGTACTGATTTAAGATTAGCTGCTGGCCTGGATCAGTGGGCCTGTGGACCTCAAGGAGTCCAAGGACTCAATACCAGGGTCCTTCCTGGTACCACTCAGACAGCACTGATCGGGGACGCCTGACTTTGCTGAGCTTTGCAGAAGAGAAACTTGTTATACATCAGGCATCAGAGGGGACTACTAATAAGTTGTCAACGCGAATTATTATTGTCTGTCTGTTGTTTTGTTATTTGTGCGTAGTCGTGTTTTTGTTAAGTCAATAAACCCTTCTTACCTTTCTACCCTCGCCCACACTCTCAATCCCGAACTCTCTTCAGGCAGCTGAGACAAAAATTAGCATCACAAACAGGATTGAGAGACCCTGGTCTGGAGAGAAAGGTCATAATGGAGGGAGTTGCATGGGCCCCATTTGTGGCTTTACTTAAGGAAGTGACAGGGATGGAGAATCCTGGGTGGGACAAGGATAGGTTGAGACCTGCCTGGAGTGACCTGGGAACTGTACCTGATCATTGGGCTAGGTTTGCTACTGCTGCCCGGGGTAAGCCCAAGAAGGGGTGCTTGTCGTGGCTGCTGGCCACATGCCTGCGGTTAGGGGCCAAAGAGAATCCCCAGCTCTGGGAAAAGGTCACCCGGCTGAGTAAGGAGTTAGAAGACAGAAGTGATTCCAACAGCATGCTGTGCAAGGCTGCGCGAGCCACTCAGAGTCACTTGGAAACATTAGAATGGAGGGAAGGAAAAATTATGAACGTGCACGTGGCTGCTTCCCTCCAGAAGAGAACACGATTAGCACAGGCTGTGGAGCCATCCTTCCACAAGGTGCAGCAGTGTCTGTATGGAGAAAAACCAGAAGTTGAGCTCTGATCAAGGGGAGGAGACAGATGGAGGGGAGAAGATTGATGATGAGTCTGGTGCTGAACCACTCCCATATATCCCTGCCCAGAGGAAGGAACCTGGTCAGGCCTTCCCTGCCCAGAGGGAGGAACTCAGCCAAGTTTGTCCCATGATGATAACTCATTCAGGGCCACAAGGAGAGAATCCCTGAACAGAGTTGCATTCCTTTACCCGTGCGGAGATTAAAAACATACAAAAATAGCATGAGTTCAAGCCAGAAGAGCCAGTAATAGACTGGCTAGTTCAAATGTATAGTGAAGAGGCATTTGCAATTTCAGTGAGCAGAGCCAAAGCTGCACAAATCATTTTGTGCCCTGAGCTCCAGTTAAATCAGTTTGCAGGAGGTGATGAAAATGTTACTTTGTTTTCTGCCATGCTTCAGGCAACTGAGGCCAGTTATGGTAATATGGAAGAAGAGTTTAACTCTGCCCCTCAGGTGTGGACCAGTTTAGAAGAGGCTGTCTGCTGCTTGTATCATGTAGCACTAACTGAAATCATTCGTGCAGCAGTTTGGAATAGCATGCCAGATGCAGAAGTCGTGACAGCACCGTTGTGGAAGAGGTTTTGCTGATGAGCACCAACAGAATGCATCTCAGCCTTGTTGGCCTTGGAGCAAGTGGCGGTGAATCACCTGGTAAGAGATGCGATCCGGCAATTAATGCAGCTTTTACCCATTTTGCAGAAGCCAAGGTTTACCAAGCCAACAAAAACTGCCAAGGCCATGGCAGTGGCCTCAACAAAAAATAAACCCCCTGACCCCCCCCAAATTGTTGAAAAAAGCCAAGGAAGGCTGGCCCAAGACTCCACAAGCAAAAATGTGAAAAGACTGATTAGCTGCCTGTTTCAGTAAGGTGCAAATAGATAGATTGCCCACCTACCAAAAGAGCAAGCCCAAAAGCAGAGCAGTCTGCACCACCAGAAGGGTCACAAGACAGATTCTCTGTCCTGAGGGCAGAACTGTTGATATTTTCCCAGGCACATGTGGAGCCACCAGCCTTTACCCCCCCGATTATGTGGTTTAGGGAGCCCAGCCAGCCCAAACCCCAAAGAAAGAGGCCACAATGGGGGCAGTACTGGGCTGGGGACTGGTATCTAAAGTTAATATTGGCCCCTTAATTTGGATAACTGTACAGATTCAGTTAAGTAAAAGTAAAAAGTCAATTAAGACTGAATACCGGGGTCCTTCTCAGTACCCCTCAGACAGTGCTAATCAGGGGTGCCTGACTTCGCTGAGCTTTGCAGAAGAAAAACTTGTTATACATCAAGCATCAGAAAGGACTGCCAATAAGTTACCAACACAAATTATTATTGTCTGTCTGTTATTTTGTTATCTGTGCGTAGTTGTGTTTTTGTTAAGTCAATAAACCTTTCTTACCTTTGTACCCCAACCACACTCTCAATCCCGAACTCTCCGCAGGCAGCTAAAACACCCCTGGCCCCACCAAGAGGACCCTGCCAAGAGGGGGAAGAGTGGCAAACCAACCCAGGGGTGTTTTAGCAGCATCTAGCAGCTTGGCAAGGGGAAAGAGGGAGGAGAGGCTGGGCCAGCTGAAGGGAATCAGGAAGAGTTTTTTTTCCCCTCCCACCCCCATATAACTGAGCTGGGTGGGAGCCTCACTGCCAACCTGGGTGAAGAGGCCGGGCAAACAGGATTGCTCCTCAAGAGCACACTGGAGTTTGCATGAGAGTGGGCATGGGTGAGGGACTACTGGGGAGGGCAGCGGGCCTTTGGGGAGGAGGGGACCACTTAGTGGGGATCCCAGAGGGAAAGAGGCTCCCTGGTGAAGTCCCCTTAGGGAAGAGGCTGCCAGCAGACTCTTCTGTGCAGGTGCAGGTGCAGGGCAAGACATATCTGCACCAAAGAGCTGACTGGCATTTTAAAAAGAGTGGGAGATTTGAATTTCCTCCAATCAGGCCAGGACGCCAGAGGAGGCACATGTGTGCAGCAGTGCACATGAGCCCTCAACTCCCCCCGACCCCACTGAGAGGAGTGGGATCTAGGTAAGCCAGGAAGGAGGGAAGGGGAAGGAGTGGCTGGGCCAGCTAAAGGGAATTGGGAAGGGTTTTTTTTCCCTCCTGTCTCCATATAGCTGAGCCAGGCAGGATCTGTGCTCCCAAGCTGGGTGAACAGGCCAGGCAAACAGGCGCACGCTTCAGTAGTGTGCTGGAGTTTCCATGGGAATTCACACAGGGAGGAGGGCAGGAGAGGCCTGAGACTCCATACGTCACAGTCGGTGGTTTCAGACAGAGTCTTCAGGTGAGTGTATGTAAGGGAATTTTTAACGCGGTG